GTCTCATCAAAAAGACGGGGATGCTCAAGAAGGAAAAAAAGAAAGAACGACAGACAGACAGACAGACAGACAGACAAAGAAAAAAACACTTTTAAATAATTCAGTAATTTATACGTTTTTGTTAATGGAGAAAACCTTTTCGCCACTCAACCTGAGTGAAAGGATCCAAAACTTCGACTTGAAACATAAGACTACAGCACCACCAAAAAGTACGATTTAAAAAAAGCGAAACAAACAACAAAACTATAGTACAAGTACAACAACAACCACTACAACATCTTCAACTATAACAACAAAAACAACTACAATTACAACAATAACTACAACAACAACAACAACAACAACAACAACAACAACAACAACAACAACAAAAAGCATTAACTACAACTGCAACGGCAACAACAACTACAACTATAACAACAAATAAAAGCAACAAATTTTAATACAACAACAAAAATAACTCTACTACACTAACGATGGCATGCTGCATGGCAATAGTATAGACAAGGAAAATGATAGGGACAACACTTTTATTAAAAATGTTCAATAATAGACTCAACATTAAAAGTTCTGTACCTACCTCAATATCCATAAAACCCATGATTGGTCCAAGTCGGTGTAGCTTTGAAAAGGTTCTGTCCTGTATGTCTTTGATGAGGTACAATATCCTTGAGCAGCTAGTTCTGAGGTGTCCTGTCCTCCAAAAGATTACCGAATACGAGACGCACACTCTCCGGAAAAAGTTGTTTCTCTCTCTTTTCAGTGAAATATCCCTTGCACGTTACGAAAAGAATGGGTATAGAATTCAATCAAACCAAATTTGAGCTCAACTTCCTTTTTTATTACTGATTATGATCATAATTAGCAATACATCTGAAGATTGATACTTCTCAATTTTAGTTATTTAAATGACCTCTTTACCCTGTTCTACGTAATTAAGTACAATATCCACTGAGAGAGGAGAGAGAGAGGAGAGGGAGCTTCTTTGAAGTATCTCCAGAGACAAGATCCTATTGCGCCTCGCGAAACAAAACGAAAGTTCTTATCGAGACAGGACTAGCCGGATCTGGAGATGGTTCTCCCGACGGACGTCGCTGCAAAATGGCGTGTACCTGGACTATTGTGAAGAGGAGAAGGGGAGGGGAGATATTATGAATGATATCTATCTACGCCAACCAAAGAAATCTGGGGATATGAAATGAAGCATTTCAGTCTTTTTCGAGGGCATGAATGCGCTGCTTAATATAGACTTATATGTTCTGTTAGTCACTATCCAACCATAGCTACATGAAAACCCACTTGCCTCGGCTAAAACTCCCAACCTTGACTTTGCTGAATATTTATTAGTAAAGGTTGTTGCCATGAAAACCCGTTTTCATTTGTTAGAGAATATTTCTGCACTGCACGCTTTAATAAAGAGAACCTATTTTTCATGAGGAAAACCCGCGAAATGTGCATACAACGCCTCCCAATCTGGACGTCCGAGCAGTGTCACAGGTAAATGGTGAGGGGTCGGGGAAGGGGGGAGTCGGGGAGTGTGTCGGAGG